GCCAGAGTGACAGAAAGGGAATGAAAGCAACAACAGCATGAATCCAGGACAAGGAAAGCGAAGGAGACAACAGCAGTAATAATTCAGAACCGAGAAATCAGGAAATGAAGTCAAACAGCAGAGAGAAGGAAGTTAAATTATAAGCCAGTGGTGAGGAGTCATGAGGCCACCTAATTTTTACCCCAGAACCTCAAAATCTGAATGGGCAACACCAGGTACCTCTGGAAGTGGAGGAAAGGGTTAGGTTGAAAGTCTGTTTAAATAGTTGGCATAACTCCCTACCCCTTAGGTCTGGGCTTTGCACTGTGACCTCCTTCCCAAATGTTAGTATGAAAATTATGATTTTTCTTTTTAAATCTATTAATATTGTGTTATATTGAATCAGGATGCTTTTTGATACAAGTAACAGAAGGACCAACTAAAATGGCTTAAATAAGAGATTTAGTTTTTCAAATAATACAGCCAAAGGAGGAAGCTCTCAAGATTGGTCAATTCTCTTGGATGTCCCTTCATGGTCACAGTCCAAAGGTCATTTCCTCACATAGCCCCACATAAAGGTAGAAAGCAAGGGTGAAGAAAGAGGGTGGGGGTCCTTGTGGGTGGCTTTCCTTTCCCTTTCCCAGCATGTTGCTGGGTCTCAGGGCTCTCTTACTCAGCCACCCAAGTCTGTGACACTTGGCAGCCATGCTTCCTTCATGGGGCTCCTGCTCCTCAGGTGTCTCCTTATAGTTCTCCTGAGTTCATTGTTGTTCCCTGAAAACTATTCCTCAGCTAGGGGTGGTTCTCTGGGAGAAAGGGCTCTATCTTGTGCTTTTCCAGGTGACTTGGAGGTGTGGGGACAGAAAGCCTCTACGTAGGCTTCCCAAGGTCAAGCAACTCCTGCCTGGGCACCTCTGGTGGCCGTGATAGAAGACCTGGGCACATGAAGGTGGGCACTCATCAGTCAGTGTGTCCGTTTGCCTGCTTGTTTATGACTGGCTGCAGACTGTGAGGTTGTGAACAACTGGAGTCCTGGTCCAGCCGTACAAGCTAAGGTCGGCCATTGCACTGAAGAGCACCTCCTAGCAACCACCTGGGTCACAAAGCCATGTGAGGGAGAGAAAAGGCCCCAAGTAAAAACCAGTCCTGGTCCATCCTGGCTTTGGTTTCCTGCCCTGCCCAACTGCAGTCCCCAGGCCCTGGGCCCAATGCTCTCCTTTCTAGAGTTCAGGATCAGCTGCAGGGAGGATCTGAGGCACCATCCCCCTCCCCACCTCTTCTCAGGCAACTCCAAGGTTGGAATCAGAACAAGCTGTTGGCTTCCTTGACCACAGAGATATTCTATATAGCCTGAAACAGATTTACTTTTGTTTCAACAAACACTACAATTGTTTATTGCCTATAAGTCAACTTAATTTAGATGTCAAGCCTCTCCTCTGGTCAGGCCGGTAGGGAAACATAAGCCCTTTCAGGTTATTTACAATAGGTGATATAGTCACATGCCTCAAAAATTATATATCTATGAAGTCATCCTGTGAAAACCTCCTTCCCACCCCTAGATATAACCACCAATATTGGTGTGTTATGCCTCTTTCCTGTGTTTCGTTTTATCTACAGAAGCAAGCATAAGGATGTATTCACACACATGCGCGCGCACACGCTTGTTCGCTCCCTTTTCCCACAAAAGACAGCATACTATCCAATCCACTCAGAATTCTGCCTTTTTTATTTCACTTAAAATGTCTGGTAGCTCTTTCTCTACAGAGAGGCTGATCGTTTTCTTTTACAGCTACAGATCCCACGGTGTCCAGGACTGTGATTTATTGAACCATCTCCCACTGATGGACATTCAGGTTGTCAGCAGTTTTCCACCATCACAAACCACGCTGCACTGAATAACACAGAGTTTAAACAATGGGGGGAACGTAAAAGCAGCCGAGGCATTTCCTTCTGTTTTCCAGTAATTTCTTTCTCCCCTCTGCATCTTTACTTTCCTGGGAGCCAAAAGTTGATGCTTTATTGCAGTTTGCACACTGTTCAGGGTCATTTTGGCAGTTGGAATCACACAATAAAATAGAAAAATGTACATTTGTGGAAGTCCTGGAAGTAGCAACAGTAGCACCAAATCTCGCGTTCATCTAGCACCTCCTGCAGCCCTGAGTGCTGACACAGCAAGCTGGTGGGGACTTTGTAAGCTCAACACATGGTGACACAATCAGAGGCAGACCTCCTCCTTTCTGTCACAGGAGGTAAGAAGTGAGGCTGTGACGCTTAGGCCAGTCTAGCCAGGGCTACTGACACCATGGGGGGCACTTGGGAATTTTTTCCTCAGTGCTTTACAGCTTTCAAACATCCACTGGCATGGATATATTAAGGAATTGAAAGCAGGGATTCAGGGTCATATGTACACCCGTGTTCAAGGCAGCGTTAGTCACAACAGCCAGGGGATGACAGCAACCCCAGTGTTCATGGAGCAGAAGACTGGATACACAAACTGTGGACAATGGAACGTTACTCAGCCTTAAACAAGAAGGGAATTCTGGTGAATTCTGCAATATGACGAACCTTGAGGGCATTATGTTAATTGAAACAAGCCAGTCACAAGAGGACAAATACTATGGGATTCCACTTTTATGAGGCACCTAGTGCAGTTACATTCATAGAACTCACAGGGAACAGAATGGTGGTTGCCAAGGGCTAAGGGGGAGGGGAATGGGAGCTATTGTTTGATGGTTACCGGTTCACTTTTGCAGGATAAAGAGTTCTGGAGATGAACGGTGGTGCTGGTTGCACAATAGTGTGAATGTACTGAATGGTTAGAGCATCTCCCTGGGTGGACTAAAGGTTCTCGAGTTTGATTCCAGCCAACGGGACATACCTCAGTTGTAGGCTCGATCCCTGGCCTGTTTCTCTCTTTCTCCCCCTTCCACTCTCTCTGAAATACAATGGAAAGAATATCCTTGGGTGAAGATTTAAAAAAAGTCCCACAAACCTACATGAAGACTGGCAAATAAGCATTACCACCACCCCCCACACTGGTTCCGCAGCTCATCTTCCTTTCCAGTGTCCACCTCCTCCAGGCTTCCACACCCCGCACACCTGCAAACACCTAGGCCTCAGGAGCAGACAGCCTTTCTTTTGTGTCCCAGCTAAAAAAAACCCTGGCCAAAGGCCTGGGTCTTCCTGCACCGGAGCATCATGGTAAAAGAGCAGCTACAATATTGATAATTAGCTGACATTTTGAGCCCTAAGTATGAGTCCAGCCCTGTTATATGCACTTTACTTGTATTTTCGTTTAAGTCCCACAACAACCCTATGAGGCTGAGGAATTTCATGACAGAGGAAACTGACCAAAACCAGAAAACACTTTGCCCAGAGGTTGGGGAGTGTGGGGGAATCTTCGAAAGGACTCACAGCTACGAGCTTGGACACAAATAAAACAAGGTGGGCATGAGAGCTCTTTATTATGTGATTGAGTTTTGGTAGGTTCAATGCAGAGGTGAAATACCAGGATGAGGCTGATAACCTGTTGAAAGTATAGAAATATCAAGGAGACAAGTTAGCGGACAGCCCACCCAATGCTTTGCAGGGAAATGGGCAACAGGAGGACCATCAGGTCAGCACCTCTGCTCACAAAGGAGTGAAGATCTATTAGCTCCCCTTAGAGGAGCCAGTCCTGGGGAACAGACTCAGCCAGAATGCCAACCTAATAAGTTATAGTGAGAACTGCAGCCTGGAAGAAAACCAGAACACTCAGTGTGTGCAGTCCAATCCACCCTCCGCTCAGATGGGAAAATCTACATGGGAAACCACCAGAATGCTACTTGGTTAACACTATGGTACAGCCCCAAGGCAGTTAGATGCCTCAAGTCGTAAAAAATCTAAAGCAGTGGTAATCTAAAGACCAATCACCCGGTGTCCTGGGCCAGGGCTGATCTCCAGGATGTCCTCTACCTGTAGTCAGAACAGGTGTTGTGAGTGACTGCTGCGAATGTATGATCTTCCCGCCAGCAGAGTGGTAGCTGCTCTCCGACTTTCTCATTTTCAGGGCTGCATGAGATCACATCTTTGCAATAACAGACTTACCTCAAAACTCAATATAATTTGTGTCATTTCCACTTGTTATAATCACACTCTGGTTTTGAGATTCAAGAAACACACAGGTGTGGGGAGAAGGTGGAAAGGGTATAGGAGGGATACATGGTGATCAGGAAAATTTTAATTTAATCTATTCTAAAAATAAAAAGAAAGAAAAAGAGACACTCAGGTCTGTCAGACATGGAAAGCAGTACCTCTTGTTAAACACCACGCTAACAAATCCTGCCTAGGTCATTATCTTCATCAGCTGTAGGACGACTCTGACCTTCAGTTTCAGACACTGCAAAGTTTAGGGTTTGTCCTAAACTGTCCATATGAATCCAGAATAACTAGACTTGACTTTCCTCCTGGGGAAAATGAAGGTGTTAAGCCAGATCAGGGCTGGTTTCTGGGAGGGGATGAGCCATTCCTGGGAAAAGGGAAGGGGGTGGTGTCAAGTTCTACTCAGCAGCCATACTCTCATCTAGTTCACATACTGAAATTTGGTGGAAATTTTCATTTGAAAAAGGGTTTTGCTGCCTTTTAAGTTTGTAAACTACTGAACTAGACAGTCTTCCAAGGTCTCATCCAAGTGCTAAATTATATTTTTGATTTTTAAAATTCATTTATTGAACGATTATTTGGAAAATGACTATGTGACCAAACTCTGCCAGGTGTGGTGATTACAATAGTGAGTCATATGGTAATAAACAGAGACTCTGCCCTCAGGAACCCACTGTTTGTTTTTTGTCAGAAACTGAAGAGCGATATAAATGTCACAGAGTCACCAAAAGACTCTATGTTTCCTAGGTGTTTTAAAATCACAGGATTTCCTGAAACTCAGCTGGTACCCATTTTTTCCATGGATGCTGCAGTCGTCAAGTATTCCTTCCCCTCTGCCCAATGCTAAGACACAGGCTGAATAATGTAGACAAAACCAGTTGTAAATTGAAAAATCACACTAGATTTTATTAAAATATACATAAATAACCTCATTTTTCTGAATTTCATCAGTTTTGGGAAGTCACGTGGAAAACAAGTGAGAAGTAGTAGCACTGGTGTGAGAAATGCAGACAGAAGGAAGTCGGTGAAACTGGTCCAGCCCACACCTGCCACCAGCCATCTGAGAAAGGCATCGAGTGCTGTGTCCTCAGCTATACAATGCGGTGCTTGGAATATATGTTGTCTGGGGTCGATTGCAGCTCTAAAATTCTACTGTACTAATTCTATTATTGGGAGCAAATGCTATATGTTAACAACGTATAGCGTGTACTCACAATGAAAATAAATGCCAAACTCGTAGGAATACTTTTAAGGAAGACAAGAGAAATACAGAAGTTTGATGCTTTAAAAAAAATGCATTGTGTTACTGTTTTATTCAAACTAATTAGAATATATACACAAAAATGTGTATCAAATGTTGCTTTCAAAAATTCTATGTTCCATGAGAACTATGTAAACAGTGTAAAATGTCTTTACTGCATAACAACAGAAAAAAAGTCAGCATTCCCACATAAGTATTAGGAAAATAGTTAAGATCATTTAAAGTTACAGTAAAACAAAATGAAGTACTATGGAAAAGTTTTTTCATGAAGTTGATTTATAGTCTAGAAGCAGTATATTTCATACTTTCAAACACTTTGGTATGAAAGAAACTAATCAATACAAAGCAAAAAACAAAATCAAAAACCAAAAAAACCCCTCTGGTTCTCAGATTAACTGGAGCTTCAGGATGAGGCGACTGCACAGCCAGCCACCCTGCACGACAGGGGAGAGCTCTCACTGGCCCCCAGTGGACATGGCCGTGCTGGGAGAGCCTCAGAGAACTGCTGTGCAGTCAGGGCACTTCACCCCCCTTCATAGCCATGTTCTCAGCAATAGCTTGAAGGCTTCAAGAAAATCTCAGATTCAAGATGGAATATAAGTGATCTTGGTTAGTGCCTCTTAACAAACACAAGTAACGCTGGCTGCACTAAAGCAGCTCAGAAGAATTCACATTCAAAGTAGAACATACATTTAAAAAAATTACATTCCTAGTTTCTCAAGAAGTCCACACTTGAGTAAAAGAACATATACTACATTTAAAAAGTGCAAGTCTAACAGCCACAGCAGCAGGTCTTAAAGAAACAGAAACGACGTCAGTCTGCTACAGGTCTTTCTCTACCCACATCATATATTACGTTAACAACTGTGCACTGAACTGATCTGAGGAGTTTTTAACTGCATCATTTTGATAATTGCATTTTCTCATCTATATCGTCCAAATGTGGTACTGTTTCTACTGTCTCTTGTTCTGTACGTTTTCTTCTAAATGAATCCCTACATCTGAGAATTACATCTGAGCAACTGTCAGTGCATCACTTCTGTGTCATCCATCACAAGGGCAAACTGGGAATGTCCTCTGAGGATTCTCTCAGCAATGTAATTTATACTGCAACTTTATGGAAAGACAAAGTCTTCAAAAGAAAAAAATATCCTTGGTGAACTTCACAAACTTACAGTAATAACATAATAATGCACTGCTGTTCCTGTCTGAACCAAAAGAACACGCTGTCCAGTGCACCCAAAAAGCAAATCCTGTGAGCACCAGTCCTCAGACAGGCAGGGAAGGGAGGGAAGGGAAAGACATGCAGCCGGGAGCATTCTGCGAGGATAACTACTCTGGGTCACCTTTACCACATCGTGAGTATGGAGATTAAAAGGAAGTTTTTGACAAGTTAATCTGAGGCTTATGGACAATTCTAGAATGGAATAAATGAGATAAACAAAAGAATTCGGCAAAATTGATCTCTGCTCGAATGAACCATGTACGGAAGAATTGTTAATATTTTAAATTAATTACTTCATAGTATTAGTACAGTATTAGGAACATAAGTTCTTGCCTAAGTTTTACAACCAAGTAGAAGAAGAAATAAAACAATGAGCAGTGAACAAATTAAATGTGAAATGAAGGGTCTCCTTTTGGTAATAGGTGCTATTAAAACCCAAGGACTATATTGTTTGAATTTTGTTCGTTTTGTGGAGAGAGACTGTTGGGAACATAAATCATTTCAAAATTTATTTGGAATCATCACCGAGACTACGGTATACTAATAACTGGCACTGCCAGACAGTAAAAACTATAGTAACAATAAAAACCATATTTCAATGAACCTAATACACCATTATTTTATGTACCATGGGAAGAAAAGATGCCCAGGATAGGAAGTCTAAAAGGAGGCAGAGACCCTCACAAAAAGTAAGGATGCCAAACGGCTATAGTCTCAAGGAAAGGTAAAAAATAACCCTTCCCCCAGAGGGCTGGAAAGAAGTCTGCACCTCTCCTCCTTAACAATACCTTGGTAATTGAACTCGTACATCCACCCTGACTTGGCTGCAAATTTTGTGGTCTGAATTCACAATACCAGCACAGTCCAAGAAAACCTAAGAGAAGTCAGCTTAAGCAGACTCAGGTTGGTAGTGTCCCCCCAGTGATGGGCCGAAAAAATGCAAACTGCGTCCAGAAGAACTCAACCTTCATCCCGGCAACAGCTGATTTTAGGGTGCATTCCAAATTTAAAGATGCCTACAATGTGAAAATATATAATCTGAAGTCAGTGAAATATGGGAGACAGATAAATAAGTCAATAAAAGAGATGCAGAAAGATCAGGAAATAAATGCTGGGCATGTAGGTAAACACGTGGAACCAATGACTAAAGGGCACGTTACTCAAAATATGGCAAAAAGGTTACTTTAGAGAGAAGTTAAATCCCTCTCTAAAACATACTCTTTAACTATAAAGTCAAATGAAAAAGCCATTTTAGAACTGAAAAAAATAAATGAATAATAATCTTAAAAGACTGGCCTAGGGATTCCAAAACCATGCCCTCTTCTGCTTCCCTTCACAGCACAACCCTGTCCTCCCTGACCCTTCACTTCTCACCTCCCTTGACCCACCTCCCTCTGCCATGACACTACCATGGCCCTGCCCAAGGTCACCAATGATGGACATCCGAGCCCCCCTCCTGAGGACAACTGAAATTCCTGGTCCTCCTCTTCCCCGACCTCTCAGCAGCACCTGACAGGCCAACCACTGTCTTCTCTCAGCTTCCCCGAGATCACAAACCTCTGGATTTCCTTCCACATCACTGGTGGCTCCTCCTTTCCACCTATACCCTTCTAGGGTATTGCACCTAGTCTGTGTCTCCAAAGGCAAGTACATGCTGATGGTTCTAAAGTTAATATTTGTAGCTCTGTGCTTCCGACCAATTACTGACCTGACAAAGCAGTACTGATTCTCATCCCCCACACACCCCGAAAGCCTACTCCCTCCACAAGTCCTCCCAGGAAAAGGTACCACCACCATCCACCTAGTTGCTCACATCAAAATCCCAAAAGTCATCCTTGACCCTTCTTTCCCTCATACTCCACAATGAATTCATCAGTAAGTCCCCAGCAACTCACTTCCAAAACAGACCTGAATGCAATCATCTCGGACCATCTCTGCACTACCCCCGCAGGCACAGTCTCCCTTCCTCCATTTGTGCTCAACAGCCTGCCCTCCAACCAACATCCACAGCAACCTTTCTAAAGGGTAAACCAAGTCACATCACTCAGTGTCTCCATTACGCCTAGAGTAAATGCAGACACATACAGATCCCTCACACCAGGCCTCCTCCATTCTCCCACCCATTTACTACCCTCTGGCTACACTGGGCTGCTTTCTGACCCTCAAACAGGACGTATCTGTTCCCATCGCACAACCTTCACAGCTGCTCCTCCTTTTGTGTGAATTGTTCTTCCCTTACCAGCAGGTGCCCTCCTCCTCCTTATTAAGATTTCAACTCAATGTCATGAGTCAGCAAAGCCCTCCCCAGAAGCAACCCCAGTCATGCTCCCCATCTTATCTCATCTTCCCTACAGAAGCCATCACCATCTGAGATTCACTTACGGGCTAAAGGTTAGAGTACGGCTATACTGTCAACCTCCTCCCAGTGGAAGACACAGTAAAGCCTTACTTAACATTCTTGGATAAGTTCTTGGAACTGTGGAGAAACAACACATCACAAAACCAAGTTTACCACAAGCTTGTGGATATAAACAAGAGTTAAGATTCTACGACACCTCATCAATGTTGTAACGAAAGGACATTGAGCAAAACAATATTCAAGGACCTGCTGCAAGATGAAAAAATGCAGTGTTGTTTACCACTTATCCCCAGCATGAACACCGGTGCCGGGCACATAGTAGGTACTGAATAAATATCTGCTGACCAACTGAACGACTATTTCATAAATGAAAATCTGGACTGTGGTAGTTTTGAGATTATACTTAGTTTATCATTGTACTATCAGAAATGATAAGAACTAATAAAACTCTATCAAGAGTCTGATTATAAAGTGGCTTTTTAGACCTTTTACCTACTCTATTGACTAAGACTCCTTAATACGTATTAGAAAATTATCTAAATGTCCATGAACGGGAAACTGGCTAAGTAAGATGAGATACAGCCATCCAGTGCATTACTATGTAACTATTAAAGAGAGTGACAAAGACTTATACAAGCTACCCTGAAAGCTGTGCAAGCGATACGGCTGACGGAAAACATCAAGCTATGGAACGATGTAGCCTAGACCTCACTAAAGAGGTTCCTTTTTTAAAGTGTACACACATCTGACGGAGTATGCATAGGAATACTGCCCTAAGCAAATTCTACTAAAAGCGGTCACCTCTACAAAGTGTGGAGGCTGAACTTATCATTTATTATTAGATAATCAAAAACTGCTAGGAACTACTTTTGATTTCAGTAATTCGGAGCTCACCAGTTTGTGTTTACTCTTTCCAAGGCTTTAAAATCTCTAACTTTAAAAAAACACATTATCTATTTTTTACAGCGATGCATAACCTAGTAAGAAAAAACAGGCCAGTGTCAGATCTCAGGACGGTCAGGAACGTAGATTGTGCTGACCTGTAGGCTGGCTCATCACGTGTTTAACCCCCTTTTCTGTTCCTTCCCTCTACGAAGACTGGAAATGCTTAAGACGTCACTTTTACAATCTTTCCTGCAGTTCAGGATCGTGGGGAGACATGTGACACAATCTTAGTCACTGGGTATGAGTAAACTTTTAGACATGATTTTGCTTTCCAATTAAAAGGGAGAGATATAACCAATATTGCTCTTCGACCCTTATCCATACCTTAATGTAGACACGATGTCTGGAACTACAGCAGCCATCCTGTAACTATGAGGCAGCAAAAGCCAATATGCAGGCGCAAAGATGCAGACAATCTGGGTATCTGTTGGCATCACTGAACAAATGAACCCTTCCTGTTATGTAATAAAAGTGAACCTCTACTTGTTCAAGGTATTTTGACTTAGGTTCTGTTACCTACAACCAACGGAATTCCTAGCTGATGTTCCTGAGGATCTATTTTTAAAAGAAACTAAAATTCAAAGAGCTCAGATTCTACGTAGAATTAGACGATTATAACAACTAGGAAATGTAAATTATACACTAATTCCCTTCCTTTACTGTCTCTAGTCTGAATTTTTAAATTAAAAAAAACAACACTCAAAAGGAAACATAAAAATGGGAAAATTGTTGGTCAGCATGAATTTCATAAAAAAGACTCCGGGATGAAACTTCAGAACTTACACACAACAAGGATAAACTCACACAGTGGAGCTGAAGTCCAGTTAATGCTGGGGCTGTTCTGGGCTGATGTTCATTGTTCGATACACTTCTTTAAGTAATAACAGGGCAGTATCTTCAGACTCCCTATCAAAAAGAAAAGCACATTTACTTAAGAGACAATTAGTAGAAATTAATCTCTATGCTCAAAGGGGACACTGCTGCTCCTCTTCTATTCAGCTCTACTAAGGGGGGCAAAAGACAGTCAAGCGTTGTAATCTCAGAGCTGTCCTTAAAATCTGGATACCACTCAGCCACGCTGCAATTCTCCTTGGTAAGCGGGGACACAAGAAGGGGTGGCTTTTCCAAGTCCCTCTCTATCACTCCCATTCTGTGAAAGGCATCCCTGCAAAAACTGTGCCTACCAGCAGTGAGGGCCTTTGGTCAAAGGCAGGTGACACACTGCCTTCTGGTGGGTAATTAAACTAAAGGGGGAAAATACTAATTTTGAATATATGGGTGTTCAAATTAATCCTCCGTAACAAATGATACATCAGCAAGCATCTCACTAGAACTAACACTGCTTCCTATGCTGGCACCTAGAGGCCACATGTTATCAAACAAGAAAATACTTACCAATAGCACAAATGACTCTGAAGAGCGAAGAGATACTCATTGAAACTCTCTATTGGCTTTTCCTGAAGGACGTGGTCGACCCGGCGGCCTCCGTTCAGCATTCCGACCTTCCCTAGGTAGTCCTCATCCTGGGAAAAATCTGGACTTTCCACCACCTTTTCGGCTGGAATTTAAACCATTTCAGTATCAGTCAATCCCTTATCATTACCCTTTGACTTTAGCTGACTTCTGGGCTCAGTGAGAATATTGCTTGACCCAGGTGGCAACTTTGGGGCTGCCAGGCTCACTTCCCATTCCAAAGACCAGGGGAAGAGGGTGGGTTACCCCAGAGAGGAGAGACAGCCAACGAGCTGACAGAGGTTGTGAAGAAAGGGGTGAGGGAGCATTGTAGAAAGAAAGGAAATGGAATTAGAATCTGAAAAACTATCATGGCACAACCACCTCACATTGCAGTAAAGTCCATAGCAACACGGTTAAACAGCAGCAGCAGAAAGGATCGTTTTTTGGAGTGGATCTTTCCAGGGCCTGAACACAAACTTGGTTCTCAATTCTGGCCCTTCACACTGGCCTTAGGAATCTCAATGACATTTAACACTGCAGAGTAAAAAGCTCAGCAGCGATCAGGCAGAATCCTAGTAAGGAAGGGTGACATGCATTTTGAAGTATAGCTCATCATAGGAGATTTTCTTTTATAGGAAGAGTCTCTGTGCTTTAACAAAAAGCATCCTTCAACGACTTGTGGGTTACGTTCAGAAACAACACCTGGAACAGCTGGAAAAGGCCTCAAATACCAAGCTTACCATCGACTTGTTTTTCTTCCTCCTCTTGGATCTGATGGGCCACCTTCTCCAGTTCCTCTTGCAGCTGAGCTGAGGAGGTGTGAGCACGGGCAAACTCATTTAACGTCTGCCAGGCACTTTTCAGAGAGCTAATAAAACCCTGCTTCAAATCAGATCCCATGCGAGACAGACTTTCTTTCAGCTCTGAAGAGAAGACAACACATCAAGTGAGTAGTCAGTGTGTACAATTCCGCCCCACATAATTGAAAAGAAAGTTAACATTATTCAAGGCAAGGTGAAACCTGCCAGTCCTCCCTTAAATGACACACACATGGAGTATCTCAACCCAAAACCTTCAACACGTTAAAATGTTTTGAGGCGTCTTATCCCTGCCATTTCTGTAATGAGTAAACCTGATTCAGCCAAATCTATAAACTTCCTCTCTCCAAAAAGAGGAAGCTCAATACCATAAAGGTATACTTAAGCACAGGTGTGTGCTTTTCCTAACTGTGAGCTGAAACGTGGGCCCACAAAGTTGAAAAGACATCTTTTCCTAATCTGTGACAGTGAAACCACTTAGAAAATGTGAGATTGTGACATAACCACAACTTAAACTTATAATTTAAAAATGAAGAAACTCTGACCCCTTCTATTCACCTTTTCTACTTTTGTCTAATAATTCGTATTTGAAATCAAGGTCTTTGAGTATCAAATTTCTCATTTTAACTCCAAAAGAGTTAAATATTTTTTTAAGGCATGGCAAAAGCAAAAAAAAAAAAAAAAAAGAAAAAAAGGAAAAAAAACACTTTTAAATAAGAGGGCACGATCACTTTTCCTGCTTTACACCTGTGGGTAAGTAATATACATGATTAACAGACTTAAGAGAAACTTAAACCCCCCTTAGAATTACCATCAATCCATATGTTCAATGAGTTTTTTTAACAGGAAAAGTCTGTCTTGTTAGCAAGGAAATAAAAGCCCGCTTGACTTCAGAGCATCAAACTTATTTCTTGACAGTTTGGTCATTAGTTCAAATGCTACTCTGCTTCTCAATTACAAAGATTTTAACCAAATTCTATCAAAGTCTATGCATCATGTCACTTTATTACCATCTTCCCCCATTCCTAAGTATCTCAGCAATTAGAATGTTATCAGGGATAAAGTCATCAAGGACAAGGAACTCACTGTAACTTTCCTTATAGCACCTCCAAATATTCAGTAAACAAGTTCTGAACACAGTAGGCACTGAACATTAGCTCTGTAACAACGGACTTAAGTGTTAAAATTTTTACAATTCATTACAAATAACAGGTTGAAAAACAAAGGGAAGGAAATAAGTTTTATAATATTTGCTTTTTACCTAAATGAAGTCTTTTTCTGCCTTTGTGATGTGGAATGAGAACCGCTTTTAGGTCCAAATCTGGAACAATCATAGGTTCAAGTCTATATGCCATTGGATCAAGCTATAAATAGAAGAATTGAAACTTATAAAAAGCCATTTTATTTTGAGTAATATACCTCAGTTGGGTAAAAAAACAAAAAACTGGCAAACCAGATATCTTGATTTTTTTTCACACCTATTCAAATACCGGTAATTATAAGAAGACTTTAAAGTTTCTGAGTAAAATTACCTTGCAAGCAAAGCAATAGAATTATTTCCTTTAACAAAGGTTTATTGAAAAAAGTTCACTGGGAAATATTTGACTATCTATTACAACAGAGAGCTGAGTTGTACAAAATCCAAATCAGTATTAATTCCTGAGAAATAAGGACCTGAGAATCTATTAGGGTAAAGAGCACAAGTTCTTCATCTCCTTCAAAACAGGAAGTTAGTTCAATTCACTCACTGGGTGATAAATATTGAAGAATCCTTTACAGGTAGGAAGCCTGTAGTTCTCATCTATCCGATCCACTCCTCTAATAGTAAGAAACATACCAACTGGAGATCCCATGGCAAAGAAAATCTCTGGTTCAAAGTCTAATGAGCTGTAAACAACAGAAACCTAGAAAGAACCAAAGAGCAATAAAACATGATCATTCCAATGATCATAAGTTGAAACACTGTAAGTGAAAAATGCATTTAATATAGAACATCATAGCTTAGCTTAGCCCACCTTAAACATGTTCAGAACACTTACATTAGACAACAGTTGGGCAAAATCATCTAACACAAAGTCTATTTTATAATTAAGTACTGAATATATCTCATATAATATATGTGAAACACAATACCCAGAACACACTGCTGTTTACCCTCGTGATTGGGTGGCTGCCTGGGAGCAGCACAGACTGCCCAGCATCACAAGAATGTGTCCTACCACACAGCATTGGCCTGAGAGACCAAATTCTACACTCAGAAGTGTGGTGTCTACTAAATGTGTATCACTTCCAACCCATGATAAAGTTGAAAAATGGTAAGTGGAACAACAGTAATTTGGGGACTGTCTGTACTAGTGAGGGTGATGTGGAGAGGCAATCCTGTAAACTGCCAGTGGGAATGCAAACTGCCACAGCCCTTCAAGCAGCAAGTAGCAACAACTACCAATGGTTTCATGTGTACATTCTTTGGCCAAGCTAAGTTTCTTCTACTTATTTAACTGAAAGAATAAAGAATTTGCACGGGAGAACTGGTTTAAAACTGTTTATCACTAGATCGCTTAAAAGACATAAAACACTGGAAATATCCTCTATGTCCAATGTTATGGGTTGTGTCCTCCCCAAAAAGATATGTATCAGTACCTCAGACCTTATTTGGAAATAGTCTTTATACTGGTAATCAAGTTAAAGTAAGGTCTTTAGGCTGGGCCCCGATCTAATATAATTGGTGTTACTATAAAGGGGAAATCTGGGCAGAGACAGACACGCACAGAGGGAAGACGATGTGAAGACAAGGGTAAGAATGCTGTGTGAAAACGGAGGACTGGGGTGATGCATCGATAAGCCAAGGAACATGTGGCAAACCACCAGAAGCTAGAAAGAGGCCAGGAAGGGTTCCTCTGCATGGCCCTGCTGACAACTCCATCCTGGACTTCCAGCCTCCAGAACTGGGAAACTATAAATTTGTTGCTTTAATCCACTCAGTGTGTGATACTTTGCTATGGCTACCCTAGGAAACTAATACATCCAATAAGTAAATGTCAGGATAAATCACTATCTTTCAAAACAGTGCAACGTAGCAGTCATTAAAAATGAAGTTGTAGCAAAGTAATTACTGACACGGAATCTATTCATAATACAGCTGACTCTTGAACGAGTCTGTACTGCGTGGGTACCCTTAAACACAGGTTTTTCCCGGTAAATACTGTAATGTATGTTCTCTTCCTTATGATCTTCTTAATAACAGTTCCAATTTTCTCTAGCATACTTTATTTTAAGAACACAGTATATAACACATATAACATACAAAATATGTGTTGACCATTTATGTTATCCGTAGAGCTTCTGGTCCACAGTAGGCTATTAGTAATTAAGTTTTGGGGGAGTAGAAAGCTATACGCAGACTTGTGACTGCATGGGAGGCTGGTGTCCCAAACCCCATGCTGTCCAAGACCAACTGTATATTGTTTGAAAACAGCAGTATAAGGTTTCAGTAAAACATTATATGTAGCACTGTCCCATTTTTTAAAAACATATACATAAATATATGCGCAAATGAAAGTCTGGAAGGCCTTCTTCAAACAGCTAATGGTGGTTAGTTCTGGTTCAAGAATTTCCACAATTATGAAAATGGAAACTTATTTATAATAAAAATATGCTGAAAGTAACATCCAAAAAAACCTTCAGACTTCAAAGCCAGTGAGATACAAGAGTATAAAAATGTATTATGAAATGTTGCATTCTCAACTATTTGACCGATTTTTAAAGGAATTTTTCCCTAAGGAAAGAGCTATGAGTACCAAAAACACATAAATTAAGTGAATACAGCAAGATTCTTTCACAGAAGCTGAAGTATATTCTGAGCGTATTTTCTAACTATTACCAGTTTTGTTGCTAGTGGCTATCAGAGCACGCCATAAAACTTGAGTGACGGAAAACGGAAATAAGGAGAATTTCAAAAGTTAGATGGTGTATTCAGTACACATTCAATCCCTTATTTTGAACATTATAAAAGCAGCACACAATTTTTATTAAAATCGGTTTTCTCTACACCTCCCATAAATGTTGAATAAATATTTGAACTTAAAGATATATAATAAAGATATGTGATTCCAACATAAAAATGCAGCCCTCATCACTGTGCAAACTTACCTGCCCAGTGCCAATTTCAAAAGACTCATAACCAACATGCACAGAAGAAACACAAGCACCGACTGGAAGTTTCCTCTTGGACTCACTAGATTCTGAGGGGACAGAAGCCATTTCTTTAGCTTTCTGAGCACTTTCCTCTTGTCCTTTTGTCAAAGCCGCCATCACTGCCTTCTTTTCTGAGGCTGTTTTTTTTTGTTCCTGTGAAATATCAAAATTTGGTAACATAACCCTGAGGGAAAAAGTTCAGTTATGAGCTATCACCATGAAACATGCTACCTCAATATTAGGGAATGATTAGTAATTTCTGAGGCACAATAAGGATATTGTGTCAGTAGAGAAATGTCCCTTTTAGAGACGCATACTAAATATTTTAGAAAGAAATACCATGTCTGTAATTTACTTTAACATTCTTAAGAGAAAAAGATTGAGGCAATGAAAAAATACAGCAAAACAGCTGTAATTAAATCTAAAAATTATCACTTCACTATTTGTAATGCTTTTCTATATAATTTAGTTTTAATAATAGAAAGTTAAAAAATGTCAATTTCTTCCTTGAAGAACTAAACTACAGACATTTTAGAAGTGCTGTATAATTTTAAAATACACATTTCTATAAAGATGTGTAACTTAGGAAAAACCTCTTCATTCAGCATCATGTCTGCATGGAGCCATGAACAAGTTTTCCTCAAAAGCATTTTGGGAACAATAAGCACACTGTGGTCTCTTCGTACAATGGGATAACCACTCGGAAATAAAAAGGAATGAACAGCAAATGAGGCAACAATTTGGTGAATCTCAAAAACAGTATTTTGAGTAAAAACAAGCCAGGTATAAAAGAGCACATACACAGTGTTCATTCCATTTATATAGAACAGGCAATGCCTTCAAGAGTGGCAGAAATGAGAAGAGCAGCTACACAGCAGGAGGAGCTTAGAAAGAAGCATGCATGACAGAGATGTGCCACTTACTTTAGATTGTGATGACACAGGTGCAAAAATTGTCAAAACTTACTGCCCCAAATACTTATGATCAAGTTATTCCCATAAATAAATAAGTGAACAAAAGCTTTGGGAGCATCAGAGGACAGGTGTATCTACTAAGACGAAACCCGCTCACACTGGCTTGTCATCACACCCAGGTACAGCAGCGTGCCAGGGGATGTGAACAGCCATAACGGGTGGACTTGTCCACTCCCCACATGCACGTGTTTCAATGGATCTCAGTCCCCAGGCTGCCAAAGACTGTGTAAGTCTGTTTAAACCGTTGTTGACAATGCCTAAACAAAATAGCTGGCCAAATTGGTCTTATCTATTAATGAATTCCAATTACTACGAAATCAGGAAGAGTCCAATTGGTTAATCTAACCAGACTATAGAAAAAAAAACTCTCTGCCAGCCAGCTGGGAACTAATCCCACCATCCTGTTTTGGAAAGTTTGGTTATCTCCGCCCTTTGAAGGCAGCACAAAATAAAATCTAACACCCAAAATGAAGAACATGCTCAGAATTATTCAGTTTAAATTTGCTTTCTCACTCAGAAATACCTCCCATTCTACTTGCAGAACTTATTCTAATTTGCTGAGAGCTGTCTAATTGGATCATAAACTGTCCTACTTTAGACTGTTGTTTTATTTCTCCTAGACACCTGTGATAATTGTAAAAACAAACTGAACCAACATATACATACTTGACGACTAATATTCCCAATACTAAAAATGATTCCTTCTCAAATGGAGATCACTAAGACAATTTACAAAGGGGAAAAAAGCATTCAGACTACAAATACTTGATGTGCTCATTATAAATAATTGGCTAATTACAGATGTACCATATCATCTTATTGATCCAGCAGCACACCTTGTCATTGATAAGAAACAAAGAGCCATCCATGGCAACATGGATAAGAAAACGTCATGGCTCATCCAGAGGCAATTACTTCTGAATTTAAAAAATCAGGCTGCTTTATAGATTTTTACTCTTTTCAAAATATTCTTATAACGCCATAATTTATATATTGGGGCAACCGCAGTGCGTCTACAAATTTCCCAAGAACCATAGAAACTTTTCCACTGTTGGTCCTTTAATTACAGAGCAAAGTCAAGAATGTGCTGTGGGGCCTGAACACAGCTTCTCATTTGTTTTTGTTTTATAGGCTTGTGCTCGGTTCACGTGTACATGGACTCAAATGTTAATGGTAAAACCAGGAAGGAGTCATATGTTTAAAAACTCATTTATTATAGAAATATTTGCTCATGGCTAAAATTTTATAATGCTGCTTATAGCACTTAATCTTTTATTTTAAAATTTCTAAAGTTAAAACTAAAATTTAAACTAAACAGGTGATTTGGTGACGATATAAGGAGGTCAACATTCCATGATGTTTAAAAGCATCATGATTTTCATGGCCATAAGAACATGTTTGAGAGCCACTCCTTTATGAGAGAAAATACTAACTTCCACACCTGCCATTCGGGCTTCAGGGCTCTCTGCCCTCCCCTACTCTCAGCTCATCTGCTGTTTCAGCTGCAGGCCCACTCCTGGAAGATGATTTCCCCCAAACCTACCCCTCCTTCAAGCTGAAGCACCAACACCTTGAGGAAGTCTTCCCTTACCAACCCCCGGTCCTTTCTCCCCAGGCCAGAACTGCCACCTTCACCTGGCTGTCACAGCATGAACAGCAGTCTGCTACAGGGCTGGCCTGTCGTCATTTGTGGTCAACTCTCTCCAACTAGACACACTATCTTCAGGTCATCTCCAAATCTCAAGAATTGGGCATCATGCCTGACCCAAAACATATATTTATAAAATGTTGACTAACTCAATTGCTTAAGCTAGTCACATCCAATCAGTCCTATGACTACAGTCATACTACATAAACTGGCGTATGTTAAGTTCCAAAGAAGTAACCCAAATAAAAAGAACCACAGAAGTTCAAAGATGGATTTTTATTAACAAAGACATGTTAATAAAAATAAGCCCTAGCTGTTTTTGCTTAGTGGTTAGAGCATCAGCCCACGGACTGAAGGGTCCCGGGTTCGACTGCAGCCTAGGGCACATACCTAGTTGCAGGCCTGATTGCCTGCCCTGCTTGGGGCACCTGCGGGAGGCAACCAATCGTGTCTCTCTCACATCGATGTCTCTCTCTCTCTCTCCCTCTCTCCCTTCCATTCTCTCTGAAAAGCAATGGGAAAAAAATCCTCGAATGAGGCTTGAAAAAATAAAAATTAAAAAAAAAATAGCCACCCTAAGTGCTAATTCTTCTAATTATTTAAAAAAACTCTCTGTAAAATTAACTTAATGAAAATGAAACAGCGAGTTTCCCCACAGTTGTTTCCTTTTTAAATGCTTTTTAGTTGTTGCTGCTTGTTGCTGTTTTGTTTTGTACTGTTAAGAATTTTTGCTTTTTGGCCTTGGCCAGGTAGCTCTTAGTGTCGTCCTGACAGGCCAAGGTTGCCGGTTTGATCCCCAGTCAGGGCACATACAAGAAGTAACCAATGATGCATAAACAAGTGGAACAGTACATCAATGTTTCTCTCTCTTTCCCCTCTCTCCTCTTTCTCTAAAATTGATCAATCAGTACATTTTTAAAAAAATAATTTTTGCTTTTTGGTTATTAATGAGATTCATGTGTGTGTGTTCTATCTTTAGAAGGTGAGAGGGATTCAGAAGAGAGAAAATGAGCTAAAAGCCACTGGGTGTTCATCTTCACCTGCATCACTTCACCCTCAGGCCAACCCTGTAAGGAAGATGTTATTGCCATTCTAGAAATAAAGGAAACCAAGAGTCAGAAAGGGCACACAAACTGCTCATGATTATGTAGTTAATAAGTGGTGAACTGAGAATCAGGGTTACCAACTTATCTAGTTATCCAGGATTTACCCGGTGTTTGCACTGGAAAGTTCCCATTTCAAAACTGAAAGTCCTTTGTCTAGGGAACTCTCTCTGTCCCAAGAAAACTGGGTAGTCAGTTACCCTAACTGGAATTTAAATCCAGGTCTGGCTGACTCCAAAGTCTGAGCTTCTATCCACTCCATAACTATGTCCAGGGGCTGGAAGCACACTAGCTGGCCCAACCATGATGGTATTAACCAAGACTTCCAAAACATAAACAAACTAATCACAGATGAGTTTTGTTTTCTTTGGGGCCAAGATGAACTTTACCAGTTGGGCAGCTTTATGTTTTACGAAGTGAGCTATCTTCTTTCTGGGTCCCAGGGGTACTCCCATTTCCTTCAGGTCATCGTCCGTACACATAAGCTTGAAAAGAACATAAACAAGCACATGAATTAGTCTAGAGACAGAAGAACTGACATTGAAAAATGAAATTATAAAGAAACGACAACTCTAAAGCCACCTAAAACCCAGTCCATTGTTTCAGAAGCTGATTGTTTGGATTTTAAGTCATGGATTAATTTGGGCTGTGAAACCTTAGCCCCCCAACATCCAATCACTCTATTAGTTCTTTAACAGGAAATATGTGTTGTACAAAACTCAAAGGCGACCATCAAGCTAAAGTTCTGAAGTCTCTCCCTCCAGTCCTGCCCCAACCACCCAACCCAGCACTCTCAGCAGCTTGGGGGGGG